GTTGACTATCTCAGAAGTCTGTCCGAATGTAATGCAAGGACAGAAGCAAGTAATAAAACCTGGATGTGCCAAAATTATGATTTTAATTCAGAGGAAACGAAAAAAGAAACAATAAGAAGAGAGAAAATGGTGATAAGTAGGCATACAATTTACAGGATCATCAAAACAGTGACAGAGACCGGTAGTCCACTGCCCTTGGGCAGGAAGAGCCCGCGGCAAGCTGGTGGTGGCGGTGATGTAGGGAGGAGCATAAGGTGGCGCAGGACTGTGCTCGGGAACCCCTGAAGCTGGGATGGTAACTGGATGCCCCTCAGCTGAGTATCTGTGAGTATCATGCACAGTAGGATACATTTTGTAGCAGAAAAGGGAAGGGAGAGAATCAGAGAAGGGTTTTTGGGGCAGCCCTATGCGTGTTAAAGTTATGTATTTGTGGAGAGTACTTAAGGCAGAAGGAATCTGTCACATATGGTCAATGGTCTTTGCACTTGTTTCATATCTCTGTTTAATAAATCTTGAAAAATGATTTGAAAACAATGTTTTTTAGCACAATATTACGTATTAATTAAATAATTAATTTTATTTATTTATTTAAAATTTATAATATTAAATATATTTATTCATCAAATGACTTATAAAAATTATATAAAAAAAATTATCTTCATGTTGTTACCCATAAATTTTCTGTTCAACAAGGACCCTATCATTTGTAGATGATGGTTATAGTTTAATTGCTAATCCCAAACCAACATAAAAGACAGAAATCAACTCCCATTTCTTTTTTTTTTTGAGGAAATCAACTCCCCTTTCTTTAATTTCTTGTGATTAAGCGGTATTCTGAGTATCCCTGTGCCCGATCGTACTTATGATCAATCACAATTTTTTGTCAATATATGATTAGAATTTACAAGAAATTAAATGATCGAACATGATTTTTATCAAGATATGAGAATTTACAAAGAATTAACTTTTAATATTAAATTTTTTTATCTAGTTGATATTAATTTACTAATTATTTAAAAAATCTTGATATGGACTGAAAATTACTAAGCAGTTAACTTGAAGTCATGTCTTGTTAATTAGCAATATTATTGAAAATTTCAACTTTCAAGCTCTATTGCAGGAGCACACTTGACTCTGGGGAACTGAGGAACTGAATACATAGAATCTCTCCCGAAGTTTTCTCAAAATTATTAAGTTAGGCGTGAACAACCTAATGATGCAGCTGTCATTTTGTCCCTAGTGAAATTTCTCTGAATGGAAGTGGGAACTTGGAACTTGGAACTTGGAAGGAAGAGAAGAACATAAATCTGAATTATTTTAAATTGACCAAGACCAAAGAGGATACGAGTCTTTGTGCTCTAGTGGGCCATTAATAAAGCAATGTTTATAATCAAATTATTTAGGCATTAATTACTTGGGTCAAGGTATGGTTGAGAAATTAAATACTAAACAAATTGCATCCACTGATACAAAAAATGTCGTTTTTGCATGACATATCTGCTTGTATGTTGAATTAATTAACTTGGAAGTAGAAAGGGAAGGGCGGAAATATTCTGTTGTTTGGTTGTGGATGTTGAACCAATTGGTAAACTAAAGCACAACTTGCAAATGAGGAATTGATTCACACTATGTCGTTACTATTACGGTGATTTTCTTTTATTTGTTGTTATATAAGAGGTTGGTAATCCGATGTCGTCGTTTACTCATTTTTGCATATATAAAACTACCTTATGATATGATTTTCAAACTTTAAAAACTTAATTTCAATCATTTTTAAATGGATAATGATGCATGCACACTTCACCGTACCACACACTATTTTTTCGTTAATTACACTTAACTATGTTACTGCATCTTCAGCTATCTCCCGACTCACCTAACCCTTTCTGTCCTCACCAGATCCATCTTTCTCCTCACTTCCATCCTTATCCTAATTATCTGCAAGACAATTGTCAATCCTCTCCTAAGTCCCCACCTTCTTCCTTTTTTCCTTTATTTTTTTATTTTTCTAGAGAACCCGATGGGTTCTCTGATCTTGAAAGTCGAAACCCAGACTTGGGTTCTCCGAAAAGAACCCAAGTCTGGGTTCTCGGAGAACTCGGGAGAAAAAAAGAAAAAAAAAAAAGGAAGAAGGTGGGAACTGATGCGGTGAGAGTGTAATGGTAACTAACGAAGTGTGGAAATTAATGAAAATTAACCAAAAAAAAAAAGTATGTAACGAAAAGGTGGTACTGTAGAGTATAAGCCAATATCATGATCTTTCTTAAATATCTAATAAAAATATTCTTATTTTTTTTGGAAAAAATAAATTCATTTATCATTAAAAAAAAATTACGAAGATTATGAGCCAATGGTATAGCACACTGGAGGCATTACAAAATCTAATATAAAACACTTAGTTAAGTATATAATAATAAAGTAATTTAATAATCACATGGATATTATAACTAAACTTGGTTCTTGATCTTAAAACTGTAAATTAATATAATCCACCAGGTCAAAAAGATGAAAAGGTAATTGTTGATATAATCCACTGCTAAAAGGATTTTACGGTGACACAATTATCAACCACCCTAATACTTTGAACCTTTAATGGGAATGATTTAAATAATGATAAAAGCCACAGAGACTACGTTCGAAAGAATGAACTCTCAAAGAAGCTGGCTTTAAGGGGAGACAAGAACTCTTGCAGAAAAACTTAAAAAAATAAAACAAAATTTTGAAAAAAAAAAGAAGAGAAAAATAGAAAATCAAGAAGGGAAAAACAAGAAGAAAAGATGGGTGACAATTCTGCTCCCCTCTATTTTTAAAAATGCATTCTATTTTCTGTTTTATAGATACCTCTTCCAGAGAATTTCATGTGTTATACGAGGAAAGCAAAAAATTTCTTCGGAAAGAATTTTAATTCTTAAGTTTTTATTTTTTCAATTAAGTCCCCAACTATAATTACTATATGATATCAAATAAATGAATGCATACTAATTCATGTATCCCCTTTAAATCAAGATAATTAATTAATTATAATTTATATTATTTAAATTATACTGTTTTTAGGGATCAAATTGATAAAAAATAAAAATAAAAACTAAGATTCTGTTTGAATTGACACTTTTCTTGGTTAGTCTAAACTGATTTCTGCATTTTTTCAAATTTATATTCTGCTATATAATATCCACAATATTAGTGTTGTTGGACTTACAAAAAGTTACGTAAAAAAAGTTATTTTAATTAAATTTCATAAAAAAAAGTATCAAAAGAGAATTATTTTTATTTTTAAAAATAAATTATTTTAATAATTTACAATAAATATTTATTAAAACTACCTATTTTTGAGGTGTAAAATTTTATTAAAAATGTACAATAAAAACTCCTTGTGTTGTGTAATTCAAGTGCTAACCCCACCCGACCGATCCGACCCGTCTCTTCCCAGCCAAACCTTCCCCAATCCATCCGCTTCCATTTTGCCGCCAAAATTTGAGATTTTTTTCAAAAATGGTCTATTTTCTCGTTCTCCTCCTCTGAGAAAATCGCAAAATGGTGAGAGAAGAAGACGAAGAAGAAGAAGAAGAAGAGCTTCTTTCGTCTTCCGACCCAAGCGATTCAAGCGACGAATACACGATTGAACGCTATGAAGCTGAAGAAGAAGACGACAATGTTCAAGTACAATCGGCGGCGCATTCGCCGCCTCCCGATCAAGATCGCAAATCGACGAACGTCGATGCTCTTGTCAGGTACTTTCATCTCCAAAATCAACACCTTGCCTTTGTTTTACTGTAACTTTTCCCCCCGATTCCTCAACTCATCTGAATTTGTACAAACGGAGATATTTATTGTTAACCTAGGGTTTCCTTCTGTCTTTTTGGTATAACACTTCGAGCTTAAACTGATCATAGGGAGAATTTCCGTAATTGAAGTTGCAAAATATGTAATCTTCTGTCTTGATTTAATAGGGGCAACCTTGTTGTGAGAAGACAAGCCCTGCTTCCAAGAGTTCTTTCTGTTACGGGAGGAGCTGCAGTTTGTAGGAAACCATTTAAACCTCCATGTCCCCGTGGGTACAATAACGGGAATGAACAGCTTGCACGCCGTCTTTGGGCCCGCAAAAGGTTTGTTCCATGGGGATCTTCAAGGCCAGTTTTAGTTGCAATAACCAATCGGTTGGATACAACAAAACCAGTTGAGAAAGATGAGGAGGAGGAAAGTGTAACTTTGCCACCTGGAATTGATCCTTTGATACTGTGGCAATCTGAAGAATCTGAGGATGAAAGCAGCAGTGTGTCAATAGTAGTGGATCCCTTGCTTGTTCGTTTCCTACGACCCCATCAAAGGTACTGTTAATGGTAGAGTGCTTGCATGTGCTTTGAGGCAGTTTTACACTGATATCAATAGTCAATATGTTCACATTCCCCACTTCCACCTCCAGCCCCTCAACCCCACACACCATCATTGATAAAATATTCCGTATGGCATAGTGATTTAAATAAATTTCACTGTTCTGTCCTTCCAACTGCAATAAGATATTAAATTGGTAACGCTCATTGGCACACTTTAGTAGTTAGTACTTGTATTATACATGGTTACACGGTTGATAAGCCAGATATTCTGCTAATAGAATAAGCATGGACATGTATAGGATCAGGTTTTAGATCCTGACTTTATTTGCTTCTTGTCTCTTGTTTTTGATGGGATAGATTTATTTCTTTTCTAATGCAGAGAAGGGGTTCAGTTCATGTTTGATTGCGTTTCGGGGTTGTATAGTGCTGCCAATATAAATGGATGCATTCTTGCTGATGATATGGGGTAAACACTCTCTTTTTGGTATCTATTCTGTGAGATCAGGTTTGTCGTTTTGAATGTTTGTGCTATTGTTTTAGTTATGTGGTTTGGAATTTTGCAGTTTGGGAAAGACATTGCAGTCAATTACTTTACTATATACTCTTCTATGCCAAGGGTTTGATGGGAAACCAATGGTTAAAAAGGCCATTATTGTAACACCAACTAGTCTCGTCAGTAATTGGGAGGCCGAAATCAATAAATGGCTGGGAGAAAGGGTTAAGCTTATTGCCCTCTGTGAAAGCACAAGAGATGATGTTCTATCTGGAATTGATAGATTCACGAGTGACCACTGCTTTCTACAGGTACTTTCTCACATTATTATGTTAATCTTCTAGAAAAATTCACTAATTCAATTGGTTCTTTTCCAGGTGTTAATTATTTCATACGAGACCTTTAGGATGCATTCATCAAAGTTTAGCCAAAGTGAATCTTGCGATCTTCTTATATGTGATGAGGCTCACAGGCTGAAAAATGACCAGACATTGACAAACCGGGTATTACACAGTAGTGATGTTTTTTCTGTATCCATTCTTTCCTAATATGTGTTTTTTCTGTTGTTTTATTTCTGACTATAACTATGAATGTCTTTTGTCAGGCATTGGCCTCTCTCTCATGCAAACGCCGGATTTTGTTATCTGGAACTCCAATGCAGGTGGGGACATTTGTCCATGATTCTTTGATTTACTATTAGTTTATTTTTTTTTTTTCATTCTGAAAAATGATTCTCCCTCCATTTTTTTTTTTTTTTGCTCACAGAATGACCTAGAAGAATTCTTTTCCATGGTCAACTTTACTAATCCTGGAATCTTGGGTGATGCTGCATACTTTCGCCATTACTATGAGGTTAGTTAAGATTCTCTTTGACACTATTCAGACAGCTTTACATTTTAAATGCCATATTTACAGTTAGATACAATATTTCGGAACTGGTTATTTCACATATCTGTTCTTTCTTTTCATCATCCTAATCTGTGCTGTAGATAGAGTCGCTCAGAGGTGGAGTGGTTTCAGTTATTTCAATTTATCATAGTTATGAGGGTGCTATAATTATTAAAACATAGTTCTATTAAATTTGTCTCCTTTTATCTTTATGAATCTAAGGGGAGGGTATTTGTGGATAATCATGGTTCAGTAGGGCATTCTATTATGCTCTTCATCTTCAATTTAGTGATGAAAACAGAGAGAGACCAAGTTTACCTGCAGGTTGTAAGTGGAGAATTTTACATAATGCACAGCCACTTAGCCAGTAAAAGTAAAACACATGCTTCAGTTCATTTTTTTTTCTGGCCTAGATAGTAAATGGAGATGTTGACATCTGTGTCCCAAACAGTCCAATCTTACATCCATGTCAATATTTAAGTGGCTTTTATTGCAGGGTAGAGAACTTAAGAATTCCTAAATTATGAAGAATATAATTGCATGCCAGAAACAATTGTGGTGTCTTAGTTGAAGTCACCTAATTTCTTTTCTTTCTTATAATGTTTATACATTAAGAATATTTTTCTGCATCTAAGGAATAGGTCTTTTTAACACACCATTTTCCTCTTTTTAAAATGAAGTATATCGTGAATATGCATTTAATTATTTTGACCTACATGCTTTCTTTTTTATTAAGACACCAATCATTTGTGGGAGAGAACCTACTGCTAGTGAAGAGGAGAAAAAGTTAGCTGCTGAGCGCTCTTCTGAATTAAGTGCAAAAATAAATCAGGTGATTGTAGTTGATTAATTTCCTTTTCATATGAATGCAACAGTAGAGACTTTCTCTAGGAGTTCTAGGAGTTCTGGGAGTACATAAGCATTCTGACATCTTCACCAGTTATGTTTCAGTATATTTGCTCCTTTACAGAAAAATGTTATTGTTTTGTACTGCTGGTCACATCATCTTGGAAGTATTACTTCTAGTCTTTTTCATGGTTAAGAATATATGTTTGCAGTTTATATTGAGGAGGACTAATGCTTTGCTATCAAACCACTTGCCACCAAAGGTATGGACCTTCTGTTGTCTTTCATGTAAATCTCATCATAATTATTATCTGTTTAATGTGCTTGCTGCATGGAATGTTAATTTCCTTGAACAGGATTAGTTCTTTTGCCAATAGCATTAGCATATATCATAAAACATATAATGGTGCACTTCGATGAGATTATGTACTCTGCTGCAAGTTGCTTACAAATTTCAATCTATTAGCTAGACACCCCTAGGCATGCATCTTGACTACACTGTGTTAATGAGACTGGACAGACTAAATTTATTATGGCTGTTGTTGCATGGGTGATGAAATAGTTCCTATTTTTTTCCTTTTTCTATTTAAATCATTTTATCATATGACATGTTGAAACATTTTACAAGAGCTCAAAATGCTTTACTTCTTGGAGGCTTGAGTTGATAGCTTAATTATTGTTTTAGTTTTAACAACCAATATCTCTCAAAGCAAATGGTGCAGACAAAAAATTGCAGAATGTCTTTTCAATTAAAAAATTCTTTGGTTAAATTAGCTTTTCTTGATCTTCACCAGTTCTTTTACCTAGATTCTATCTCTTTCAAATTTTGATTTTGCATGCAGATAATTGAAGTAGTTTGCTGCAAGTTGACTTCTCTTCAGTCAGAGTTATACAACCATTTTATTCATTCCAAAAATGTAGGTTTTAATTCATATTGATTTGCCTTGAATTAAATATGCATCATATCTTGACCAGAAATGATTTATCTTGTGGTTTTAATGAAGGTTAAACGTGCTATTAATGAAGAAAGAAAACAGTCAAAGATTTTGGCTTATATTACTGCTCTTAAAAAGCTCTGCAACCATCCCAAGGTATGTAAATTTGAAGAAAATGTGATTAATTACCTCTAGATGTTTCTTAGTGTTACCAAAGATGGATTGGTTCAATTTTCTCAAAGCAAACTTTGAGCTCAAACCAATTCAATGTGGCTTTGGGAAGTAAACTATGAAAACATTGCATTTTTAACATGTCTACTGCGGTTTACCTAATAGAAAGATGCTTTCAGCTGGAAGCTTTTGCTATTTATGGGGGTATATATTCTGCAGAAGGGATCTCTCTTAATAGCAAATTGGTTTTTTCAGTTTGTCATTTTACTTTAAATGAAGAGTTCTTTTCCATATGTCATATGGATCACTCTATTTAACTTCTGTAGTTTTACTTTCTATTTGCCGTCCATTCTTTTCTCAAGGTTCATAAAATTGTCTCATTAAATATTCATCTATGTAGCTCATTTATGATACGATAAGAAGTGGAAGTCCAGGAACTACAGGGTTTGAGGACTGTATGCGCTTTTTCCCTCCAGAGATGTTCTCTGGAAGGTAGGCTTTGTCTTTATCTTATGTTTGGATTGCTCCATGTTTAGTATCTGTGGTCTATTCTCTTCTCATCTAGTTTCAGTTTTATTCTATTGTCAGATCTGGTTCATGGAGTGGTGGTGATGGGGCTTGGGTTGAACTGTCCGGGAAAATGCATGTATTAGCCCGATTACTGGCCCAGCTACGTAAGAAGACTGATGACCGCATTGTTCTGGTCTCAAACTATACTCAGGTAAGTCATGTGGTCAACAGAATATATTATTAGTATCTAATATAAATTACTTTTCTTATTTTTTATTGACATCTTGTTTAGTGGTAGTGTCAGATGGTGTCCTGCTAAATAAAGTGCATTTCTTTGAAATACAAATTGATCTAGTATTTTAAAGATATTTCATTTATTTCCAATGAAAAAAAGATCCGAATTTTGGCAAAAAGGGAAAAGAAAGAAAAGGAGAAAAAGGTGGTTCCAGAAGTATAGCACTATTGTCAGCCAAAATATTTTCATATTAAAGCTGGTGATATTGTCTAATGTACCCAAGATCTATACTCAAGGGAAGGAGAAGGAACTAACTTTATATCACTACATTGGGTGGTAGAATATATTACTCAATGTACTGATGATAAAGTTCCAAGTTTCTAGGATTTTGTCACTTTGAAGTTTTCTTTGAATGCAGAATGGAATGAAGAAAGTTATTGTAATGCTTTACTTTACTTTCAGTATTCCTAGTAATAGAATTATAATGTCAGAGCTTATCAAACTTGCTTGAAGCTAGGGATTCTGTTCCAGGTTCAACTAAGACCATTTCTTTGAGCATAAGAGAAGTTTTTTTTCTTCACATAAGAAATCAGAATCCAGTTTGTTACTGTGAAAATAATTTTACTGCAATGTTGTCAGACACTGGATCTTTTCGCTCAATTGTGTCGTGAGAGGAGATATCCATACTTGAGGCTTGATGGAACCACATCAATCAGCAAAAGGCAGAAATTAGTCAATCGCTTTAATGACCTGTCGAAGGTTTGATATATATTTTTTTTTTTTCATTGCTATGTTTATAACTTATTCGCTGATAAGTTATGATCCAGATTGCTTAAAAATCTTGTAGGATGAGTTTGTCTTCCTATTAAGTAGCAAGGCTGGTGGCTGTGGCCTAAATTTGATTGGCGGTAACCGACTTGTGTTGTTTGATCCTGATTGGAACCCTGCCAATGATAAGCAAGTAAATGCTTCTCTAAACTCCAGTTACTCCAAGACTATGTGTCAAAAATAGGCATTTGATCTTCTTTCAATTTCAACAATGACTTTTTGCTTATACTAATTAGGCTGCTGCAAGGGTTTGGAGGGATGGACAAAAGAAGAGAGTTTACATCTACAGATTCTTAAGCACTGGAACAATTGAAGAAAAGGTTTTTGAAGTTGCTGCAACTAATACAAGCAGTACATTACTGCCATTCCATAATACTTAATTCATGTCAACCTGCAATTTCAATATAAAAATTATACATATTTCTATAGGTATACCAGCGCCAGATGTCCAAAGAAGGGCTTCAAAAAGTTATCCAGCAGGAGCAAGCAGATGACCTTGTGTCACAGGTGCCTGTTTTCTTGCTTTTTCCTTGTCCGGTTGTTACACTTTGTTATAGATGCATGGTAAGAAATATATTTTGGCTGCAGGGGAACTTTTTCTCAACGGAAGATTTACGTGACCTGTTTACATTTCACGAGAGCACAAGGTATTATGTATGTTCTCTGTTATAATGTATTATTAGCACCTATATGGTAGCATTTTTTGTTGGTCACCTAAAAGATAGCAAAGTTCTAGGAAGTGATATCACATAATATAATTTAAACTGAAAGATATGGCTTTTGCTAATTATAACAGATTAACAGGCCAGAAAAGATGCTTAGGTGTGTGTTCAGATATTCTATATTTAATGAAGCCAGATATGAAATGAAAAAAGGGGAAATATTGCAGTGTTAGCTGCAGTGAGTCAATTATATCAATTTTACTCTCACTTAGCATTGTTCTGTATAGAAGGGTTGGATGCATTATGCTTATTGGTAATACAGAAGGCAGATGCTGCAGCATTGTCATGGCAAAATGAAGAAAAAGGAAAAGAAGAAACAAAGGGGGAAAAGAGGGCTAATAATGCTATGTATTTGATTAAATAATGAGAAAAGGGAAAATCAAGATGTTTTGGCATTTAAAATGTTAGGATGTCCAATCACAACCATTAAATATGTAAAACATAATGTGGGCCCTAACTTTATCAAATTTATCAGATTGCTATTATTGGACTTCTTGACATTTTAATGCCAAGGTATCCTGATTTTCTCTTTTCCCATACTTAGATAATATAAATTGATTATTGATTTTTTATTATAAGTAGAATGCATTAACTGTTATTATTTCCTCTGATTTAGGTAATGCTCTAGCAAACAAGTACGGTAATTAGAAGCTATTTCTTTTATCTTTATAGACCATCCGAGTGTGACTCTGCAATCTGCATATGAAAGTGAAGACAATGAATATACTTCCCTTAAGCACTGCAGTTATGAACCACTTTGTTGGTCATCATCAAATTGTTGGTTACAATTTCTCTTTGTTAGAATGATTAGAAGTCCATATTCATGCTTTTGTAACATGAACCTCTCTTGTATTAAATGTAGGTCTGAAATTCATGAAAAGATGAATTGCACCCGTTGTCAATATTATGATTATGAGTGTGAAAGCAAAGAAGAACATGTTGAAGACAAAACAGAACACGGAAGTCCCCAATCTGGAAAAGAGGAAACTGACATAGGGGGATTTGCTGGGTTGGCTGGATGTTTGCATAAGTTAAAGAACTCAGAAAAACAGGTTGGTGGTGCTTAGAATTACATACACTAGTGTCCAATTTCTTTCTTATATGTTCCATTTAGTTCATCTTACCATTGCAATTGTTTGCAGGTGGGAAATCCTCTTGAAGAAGATTTGTTTAGCTGGGGGCATCACTTTCATCCTGGTTCAGTACCTGATGCCATTCTTCAAGCTTCAGCTGGCAACGAGGTTAGCCAATTGTTTTTCTAAGTTTGATTGTACTTTCCAAAAAATACAGCAACACTCTGTTGCTGAATGCATCTGCATATGGTTTTTTATGATAGGACTGAACCTCGTGTAATGTTGCAGGTCAGTTTTGTTTTCACAAACCAAGTAGATGGAAAACTAGTCCCGATTGAATCAAAGGTGAGCCCAAAGTTGCAGGAAGGGGAAGGAAATATCAATGAAAACACAGTCAAGAAGACCCAAGATTCCAACTCAAATTTCTTATCTCAACCCCGTAAACTACTAAATTCTGTTTTGTCTAATGGAAATTCTATGAAGATAAAACTATCAACTTCCTCTTTGCCTTCACAAAGGCAAACCGTTCACTCATCAGTAAGATCTTCCTCAAAAGGTGCAACTGGGGAGAAGATATTTTTAAAACCTTCTCTTGGAAATCAACTGCCCCAAAAAAGGCCATATGTTGCTGGAAAACATGATGATGATGATTTTGCATAAAAGCTCGGCTCAGCAGATTAAGTGATCAACATTTTTCCAGTCTATTGATTCTCAACATGCTAACCTTGGGTCATGGATAGAATCTTGAAATTTCTATGCACAGAATAAATCTCCTTTTATATATCTTGCTGCCCTTAAAAGTCTGAATTAGATACAAGATTACAGTTTATGGAACCCTATTTGATACAGAAGAAATCGAAACAGCTGAACTGGTAGCTAGCCATTGGAGAAGATGCTGGTGTGGTAAAGCTGTTGTCTGTTAGCAAGTTGGGTAGCTATTTTTCAGGTGATTAACTGCTAATTGACAGTTATTTGAGCTAGATTAGCTGAAGAATCAAGCTACATTTTGCTATAATTTTTTTGATATATAGGGGAATTGCTATGTACATTGTATTCATTCAATTACCAATATACAAGAAGTTTCTTCTCTCATCTCCCTCCGCCTCATATTCTCTGTTCTTATTCTTCTTCTTTCCTCTATGACCTTTTTTGATATTCTCTTCTTCCTTCTAATTATTTTCTTGCAAGTACATTTTTCGTCCCTTGCATTGAAAGTATAGGCAAGAGATTTCAATGAAAAATATGTTAGTAATTTTTTTTTTCTTGTTTCTACTTATAGAAATGTGTTATGCTCTCACTTATTAAGCGTAAGGAGATTTGGTTGAATCTTAATTGTAGAGATAGTAATTTGTGAAAATATTTTTAGATATTAAATTAAAATATTTTATTAATTATGTAGAGATATCGTTATAATTTATACAATAGTTATACTAAAATTTTGTAATATAATGATCATATTCTAATTCTATACTTAATTTTGCTATGTAATACCGTGTAACTAGAATACTTTCTTTTTTCTTCATGTAGATCTAATGAAGGAAAATTTTATGAAGTTGTGTTTATATGTATTTTGTTATATGTATAAACTTATATAATTACAAGTATATATACTCACCTAGATTGTTATTTATTTGAATTTATGTTTGTGTTCTAAATTATGTATTTTATTATAAGTATGAATTAATATATTTATATATATATGTGCTATATATGAACCATAATATGTGTTTTGTAACAGGGTTAATTATGTTCAAATTTGTATTAAAGTTTATAATATTCAATTCTATGTTACACCAATATTCAAATAAGGTTAAATACCCTTTTTGGTCCGTCTATTACAAGAAAGTGCTTCTTTTCAATCCCTGTACTGAAAAAATCTCCTTTTTGGTTTTTACTATTTTAAATTCGATCGCTTTTTAGTCATTCCGTTAAATTTTGGCTGATGTGGTAGGGTAATTGATGAAAAAACTTATTTTTTCCTTTACTTAAATTACATGAAAAATTTACTAGTAAAAATTGATGACATGACAAAATTTTTTGTTTAATATAACCAAAACAATCATTTAATTACATAATTACTATTATAAATATTTTAAAGGTTATTTTGTGAGACTTTAATTATTAATTTACCCTTATCTTCTTCCCCCTTTTGTCTCATCCTCTCCTTCCTGTGGCCTTCCTTCTTTCTTTCTTTTTTTTTTAGCTTTGCCTTCTGAAAATCAAATCATGAGTTCGTCGCAAACCCAGGAGCCTGGGTTCCTCACGAACCTAGTATCCTAGGCTCCTCACGAACCTAAGCGCGTGTTGTTGTGTTGCTATCGACAGGTTTGTTGCAAACCAACGTGCCTGTGTTTCTCGCGTTTTTGTGTTGATATCATTTTTTTTTGTTTAGATCTGTGATTATGAGAAATTGTCTTCAAAAACCAAGATTTGTGTTGCTATCATTTTCTTATTTAGATCTTTGATCATGTGAAATTCTCCGCAAAAACTCAGATTTATGTTGTTATGTTGCTATCATTTTTTTTGTTTGGATCTTTTGATTATGTGAAATTGTTGATCTGATATCTATTTTTTCTTGATTAGGGATGTTTTGGTATGTCTGCATGAGAAAAGATTGAATGATGAACAATGATGAACAATGAGGGTTAAGGGTAATTTTGAAATTTTAATTTTTATAAATTACCGATACTGTTTAATGTCTACTTGGAATGCCACATCATATTCTTTTATTTTTATATTTTCCATATCATTTATACAAAGAAAATAAATTAAATAATTTCATTAATTAATCTGTCACATCAGTCAAAATTTAATGAAAAGACTAAAAAGGGCTTGGATTTGAAACAGTAAGGACTAAAAAGTGAATTTTTTCAGTATAGAGACTAAAAAGGACTTTTCCCTATAATAGAGGGACCAAAAAGGTATTTAACCGGCAAATAATAATAATAATAATAATAATAATAATAAAAAAATGGGCGCTCCTCAAATTCTTTACGTTCTTCCACCCAGCCGAGTGGCTTTCTGCTATCGCCATCCGAAGGGTTCTATCCTTGTTCTTCTTCTTTGTAGAGAAAGGAAACGCTGTCTTTCGATTTCTCCTTCGAAAATGGGTATGAGAAAGATAATCCTTTCTAATTCTGCCGCTTTCTGCAAAGCATTTTCATCATCATCGTCTGCTCTTTCGACTAAGCTCTCCCATTCCAATCCTAAATCTATTGTTCCAAACCCACATTCCCTGAACCAATTTCTCACCAAACAATGCAAGTCAGGTGCCATCACTCTAGATCAAGCCCAGCATTTCTTTGATTACATGATCCGCATGCTCCCCCATCCTCCTGTCTCATCTTTCAACCATTTGTTAGGTGCCCTTGCTAAGATTCAGCACCATGGTCATGTGATTTCGTTTTACCAAAGATTGAACTCAGTTGGGGTATTCCCTGATATTAGAACTTTGAACATCTTGCTTAATTGCTGTTGCAAAATGGGTCTACCTTCGGATGGTTTTTCGGTTTTGGGGAAGATTTTGAGGGGCGGTTATAGCCCAACTTCTTCCACTTTCAATACTTTGATAAAGGGGTTTTGTATGGACGACAAGATTGGTGAAGCAACTAGGTTGTTTAACAATATGTCTGTCTTTGGCTGTCAACCTGATGTGGTTACTTATGGTAGCATTATTGATGGTCTTTGCAAAGATGGAAAGGTTGAAAAGGCAAAACAACATTTTTCCCAAATGAAAGATAGAGGAATTTCTCCTGATGTCGTTGTTTATACCTCTCTACTTCACGGTTTCTGTTTAATGGGTAATTTGGAGGAGGCAAGAGGTTTATTCAGAGAGATGGAGGATGGAGGAGTCCAAGCTAACGTGGTGGCATTCAATGTTTTGATGGTTGCATTTTGCAAACGACAAAGGTTGCAAGAAGCAAGTGAATTATTAGACTTGATGATCCAGAGAGGTCAGTACCCTGACATAATAATTTATACCACATTATTGGTGCACTTTGTGAACAAGGGAGCATAGAAAAAGCATATGGATTGTTAGACTTGATGATTCAAAGAGGTCAGCACCCTGATATGCTGACTTATAACGCATTGATTGATGCCCTTTGCAAAGAAGGGAGGATGGAGGAAGCAAATAGATTATTAGATTTGATGATTAAGAGAGGTCAGCACCCTGATGCTATCACTTATACTAAATTATTGAATGCATTTTGCAAAGAAAGGAGGATGGATGAAGCGAATAGAGTAATAGGTTTGATGATTCAGAGAGGTAAGCATCCTGACATTGTTACTTATAACACACTGATAGATGCACTTTGCAAGGACGGGAGGTTAGATAAAGCAAATAAATTACTACACTTGATGATTCAGAGAAATGAGCATCCTGATATAGTGACGTATAACATATTGATTAATGCACTTTGTAAACAAGGAAGACTAGAAGAAGCAGATGGATTGCTAGACTTCATTATTCGAAGAGGTCATCACCCTAATGTAGTAACTTATAACACATTGATTGATGCACTTTGCAAGGAAGGGAGGATGGAGGAAGCAAATAGATTACTAAATTTTATGACTGAGAGAGGTCAGCACCTCGATACAGTCACTTATGGTACATTGGTGAATGCATTTTGCAAGGAAGGGAGGATGGAGGAAGCAAATGCACTGTTTGATTTAATGATTAAGAGAGGACAACTTCCTAACACCATTATTTATAATACCATGATCGATGGGCTGTGTAAAAATGGGCAATTGGAGAAGGCAAGTGATTTATTAAAAGAGATGGAGGAGAGTGGTTGTTTTCCGGATGTGGTGACCTTTAATACATTCATTTCCTTTTTCTGCCAAAAGAATGAGACATCCAAAGCTGTGGAATTTGTTTTAAAAATGAAACAGAAAAATATGTCACCTGATACAACGACCCTGTACATTGTCTTAAAGTTACTCTCAAACTTGAAGGATGAGAGATGTCAAGAACTTATTAATGAGCTTCCCACATTTCTTGCCAGATAGCCACCATAAATAATGACAAATTTAAATGGAGGTTAATGTAGCTGATGATAGTTTCATGGTGTTCCTAGTCTTGAGTCAAACAAGTGAAGATGGGGTGAGACAGGGTAATCTTTAATTTGAGAAAGCAGAAGCAGGGTCTGAATTTTCGTTAGTTGGTGCCTGTAATAAAGGAGATGTTGGTTTGAAACCACAGAAAATTGAAGTTGTAAGCTTTTCATGAAAATCAGGTACGTTAACTCAAGTGCTTCTGTTTGTTAATTCTATTGGAATTATTTGTAGATTTTTTGTTTTCCGCAAGTTAAATACTGTATAGTTAGGCAGACCTATGACATTTCTAGTGATGTTATTTCATATCACAAACTAATGTCAGCTAGGTAGCTTATGCATTCCAATTACCAAATGTACCTTATTTGCAATTTTGTTCAGAAAATGGATCCGATTTATTTCTATTTGACATTAACTCACTCAACATCATAGATGTATTAAGTTTTTTGAAGTAATTGCTGGTGTTGTCTGGATCAGAAATGGATTCATCCATTTGTTTTCTTTGGCTTCAGATCAACTAGAAAATATTTAGCTTGTAAACTAATATGTTTGGCTTTTTTGACAAAGGCAAGAAAATTCATTAATTGCCATAATGTTTTCACTTTACAGTGTTTACATTTGAGCATACTGAGGAAAAGAAAACCAAAATTTTATCAAGTGTGCAGCTATTCAGAGAAGAAATAACCTAATTATAACTATAGCAGTTTGTTAATTTCAGAAGCTATAATAGCAACTGCTCTGCCTTCTTGAAAATTATTCTATTCTTCCTTCCCTGAAAACAGTATACCATTCAGCAACTGCTGGCTTCAACAATTTACTTCTGGTATTTCTTCCCTGCACACTATTTGTAGCTGATGCCAATAATTCTCCAAGCTAATGGAGACCTCAAAAATTCAAGTTCTGCAATACAACTACCTACGCTGCAATAGTAGCTGGAAAAGAATAAGGAAAGCAATTCTTTACAGAGGAATCACGGGACACACAAGTGCTATTCCTGCAAACTGCTTTTGTACAAAAGAGATTTTGTTTTTAACTGCTCCTAACTCAAAGGCACAGCATGAAGCTATGCTTGTGGTTGCAATTTGACCAAATAATCCCTGACCAGTTCGCTTTGGCCAAACTGCTATCCCTTCCTTTCTCTTGTAAAATTAGTTGGATTACCCCCTATACTCTGTTTTCTTAATAATAATCTTTTGACTGCTGATCAAGGAAGAGGGGAGGCATAAAAGTCTGAAATGCAACAAGGATAAAAACCATAACTTTCTTCTTCTTCTTCTCTCTTTTTTTTTTTTTTTTTTTTTTTTGGATTCAACACATACAATGTGGATGAATGTACTAGAAAGCAGATTAAATTATCATCTTCTGTCTGATTTGCATCCAAAATGTTATACAAATGGCTTTTATTTGTATTTACCTTGCAGTGATCGTATTTTAGGTTGTTGTTAGTGCTTTTCCTTGTGTCTTCAGTGTTTCAGTGCAAATTTTTGGTCTTATAATGTGGTGATCAAGTTGAGTGCCAGTTGGTATTTTTTACCCAAAGTCTACTGAAAAAAAGAGGGGGTTACCAGTTGGATCAGTACCAACTTAAATAGGTAGCTCTACATATTCCATTTCTTTGCTTGGCTTTGTTAATTACTGTAGGTAAAATGTTTTTGGCTGTTTTGTTCTCTGTTAAACATAATTGATATTCTGAATTTTTCTTGACTGGTGTCGAAGACATTTTGAAATGAATTCATCCATGTAATCTACTGAAGTTTCTTAGTAGGATGCAGTAGCCTTGATCTCATTTTGTAGGATATCTTTCATTTGGGATGTGAAATGGATATTGAAGAGTAATCATTTTCCCTGTTGCCTTGATCTTAATTAGGGGGTTTCTCATCTAACATTTCAGCTTCAGTCAGAGTTCTCTTGTTCTGAACATTGTACTTGGTGGTAAGTCTCATATGCCGCACCTGCACCTTTGTGGTTGGCTATTTAAATTATTTTTGTATTATAAATAGATTTAGGATCAACTTACACACAACTCTTACATGCATTACTTACACAATCTATGAATGGTTGAGATTTATCCATCATCTTATTTTCTAAATAAATTTCAACCATTCATGGTAGAGAGACAAAAGGTCAAGATTTTGTGTAATTGATGTGTGTAAGAGTTGTGTAAGTTGATCCTAGCTCCTAATAATATAACATTTTTTATATCAGATGCATAGCTCTATTGGTTGGTCTTTTTATTAAAGAATGGATAACTACTTAAAATAACTCGCTAAACTGGATACATGAGAAATGATAGTCAATGTTATTTTCTTGTGAAAGCAGAGATAATTCCATTTGGACCTGCTGCTGTCACAAATTTATTTGCAACTTGAAACCTTTGTTGCATCAGATCAGCCATGTTTTTCTTGTTTTCTTTAGTTGTTTGCTATTTTGTTTGTAATATCAGATGGTAGGGATGAACAGAAAGAAGACAGTGTCCCACAAATACAGAATCTGAGTGAAATGTGATGTTAAAAAATTGTAATGCCTGCTGCTTCTGCATAACATTGTCTGTTTATATTCCAGTCAGAACACTCAACCAGTTTGGTTATTGGTAGTAATTAGAAACATTCTATTATGATGCATAAGCATTAGAGGTAGGGGAAAGGAAAAATCCTTTGAATGCTTAACATTTGGAAGCTAAGTATCAAACCACTACCGGCCTCTATCATTTTCCTTCTTCCTCTTCTTTCATTACAGAAACCAAGGTTGAAATGCAAATTGACTCTGCTAAACCAGTACGTCTTCCTCACTATTTTGTTGATTAAAAGAAATGTATTTAGTGTTCTTCCTTTTCCTTTGCTCTTGCCTATATAGGATGAGAAAAAGGAGATTTAACCTCTCTTCCCACCACAACTTCTATGACATATGTTGAACATTGGATCTCTTCCCACCTCAACTTGGTGTAAAGATACTTTCTCTGTGAAGAATTGGTACTCTTTGCTCTCACTCAATCATGCTTCAGGTGCTCTGCCTTCGTTCTCCACTGAGGAGCTTGAAAACACCAAGGTTCAAGCATTTTTATGGAAGCAGCTATGAAATGGATTTTAAAGACTAATCATCTTCTTCCAATGTGCCTTGATCTTAAGTGGTTGGTTTTATACTCCTTGCATTTCAGCGTTAGTGAGTGATCTTCTTCGCTAGGAGCTCTCCCTCTTCTCATGTTATGAAAGTTGTACTTGCAGGACCCAGCGTTCTTCTTTTGCTTGGATTTCTATTCTAGACACCTGCTGCAGAAAATATATCAGTTTCTAGCTGCTGAATTCTTCGTCAATGAACTGTTTTTGACACACAGTTATCATCTAAAGAGCATCTGCCACTTATCCTGTCATTAGGCAGAGTTCTATCCTTCTTCGTGTTTGCTTGCTTGTTTTATATGTTTTCTTTTCCTTGATATGTTTTGCCATGTGTGAGTTTTGCCATGTGTGAGCATTGATGATGATTGACTTTTTTTTTTTTGAATTCAAGGAAGTTTTACCACATCAATATGACATGACTCAATAAAAACATTCGTATAGCACTTCTTACATAGAGCATGGCTTTAGATCAGATGAGTAAAAAGGAGTCTTTAGAGATACAACGAATTGTTTCATTTTGTGCCATTCTGTACTAACTTTCTTCTCCTCCTCTTCAGCAGCTTTCATCTTTGCTTCATAATCTGGCCACTGTTTTTCTAACACATCAAGTGCAGCTTTCAGGTCCTCGGAAAGTTTAAACATTTCTTTCTGCTTGGATGAGTTATTGTCTTTCTTCTTCTGTGCCTCATCAATTTGGGCAAGAAGGGCCTTAGCTTGCAACTGAAGGGTGACAATGCTCCGTTCCTGCTGCTCGGCCTCTTCCTTTGCCTTTTTGAACTCAATTAGACACCTCTCCACTTTGCGAACAAGTGTCACCTTAACAAATTCCTTGTTTGTGCACATATTCTTGTCCTTTGTTGCTGTGGCTGCTCTCTCTGGCAAGTCCTTAAATTTTTCCTTCATGGTTGGTAATTCTGCTTTTTGTTCAACTGTAAGTATATGGTAATCATCAACAGAAGATAAAACATCAAATGCATTTCTTATTTTAGAAATTTTCCCTGGATCATTTAAGTTAGTTGGATAGGTGTTCTCTATCAGTGTCAGAGCTTCTTCTACTTCTTCTTTTGACGAAATATTTTTACTACTAGAAATCTTTGCTAAGAATGCATTCATATTTTCTTGACTTGGGTCTTCTTTAGCTACATTACTGGTATCTTTGCTTGAGCCTTGTGATTCAACAGCTACATCCTCCAATACTATAACATCAACCTCAATTATGCATGTGTCTTCCACCAAATAACCCTTCCTAAGATCGTGCAAATCCACAAGAGGGATAAATCTAGGGAAGCCCCAATTTTCAGCCGCTGCATTCAATTTATGCTCTGTACCTGCAGAGAAGCAATAGGGCTAATCATCAACAACCATTCCAACAAAATATATGTAAAAAGATTGACATTAGTGGTTTAATTATTGGAACAGATAAGGATTTGATGTTTGTGTTTAGGAAGTAATTTTGCTGAAGGTAAAAATAAATAGTTGGTCATAAGAGTAGGGGTAAGTATTTATGGGTACAGATCAAGTATGATATATATTTTGTACTTGAAAATTTTCGAGTACAGCTTTTTAGACATAGACCTACCCAAGTATTCAAAGACCTATACTTGGTATTTAGTATCAGGTAGTTTGCAAGTAAATACTTATATACTTGAATTGGGGAAAGAAAAGGTTTAATATGAGATGCTATAGTTAGCTGTGTTATATGTTTGACCTAGGGTTTATTATTGATATAAGTTGTTATTACTATGTGTGTAATTTATTTGATTTATAAGCCTTAACTTAACTTTTATTTCTATTTTTTATATTTTGTTATTTTTATTTTTAAAAATTATTGTTATTATATAAATATTAAATATTATAAGTGAATGTAAAATTTCAATTATACAAGTAAGAGTAACGTCTCAATTAAATAAAAAGGTTAAACACATAAGGTAAACAGTTTTGAACCCCTCTAGGCTATATTTATTACTTGATTTGATATTTACAGGTATATTATTTTCATACCCATTAGTTATCCATTTTTTTCTAAAGTTCAGGTATGGTACTTATTTAGATGGATAGAGTATTTGTAAATAATAGGTGTATCAACACCCAATGCTCACCCCTACGTAAGAGTGGTACTTGTAGAAACGAGTGGGTTGGCAAGTGAACAGAAAAGGTGAGAACCTTGGCTCTAAGAGGTGGCTTAATTGGTTGAAGAATGAGATTCTTAGACTTTATTTAGGAGTGCTATGTTGTGCTACACTAGAGCTATAGTTGTAAGTTTTTTTGTCTTTTACTATCTCAAGAATATATAAAATATTAATTAAATTCATAAATATATATAAAAATTAATTAAGATTAAGTAAAAATAATAAATTTGCTTCTTAAAAGAAAAAGATGTGTGAAAGATTTTGCATAAAGCATTGTTAGATGAACTTTAGAAATTTTAAGTTTGAACTTTAAGTTAAAAAGATTTGAAAAAAGAAGAAGTTATTTTCTCTTATATAGCTTATTAACAATTAATTTGTTGAAGAAGCAAGGTAAAAAAAAAACTTGTAGAAGAGGCATTGTAGCTGTAAATGCATACCATATGTAATTGATAATTTCTTATCAATTTGGTTGACAAGAGTGAAGGAGAATTTTGCATCTTCATGATGCTCTCAGTATTATCTCAAGCAACTACTAAATCAACAAAAATTCCACTTTCATGGTAAGAGAAAATCCATAATGTAGTTGGATGGGAGAGTAGAAAAATCAATGACACTAGTTCCGTTTTGTGGTCCTGAATGCAAGATGGCTAACTAAGCAAAAATTTAAGCTCAATATTATCTGCATAATTACATAATGCATTTACAAACTACAATAACTAGCACTGACCTACTTTTATTGTTGAAAACAATTTCTTATAAGAGTTCCAATGCATGTATATATATATATGTGTGTATATGTATATATTACCTTTTTTAACTGATGATTTGCCATCGATTTGGTTGAGAAGAGTGAATGAGAATTTTGTATTTCGATTCCAACCATAGGGCAAAGTCGCTGAATCTGCAACTTCTAGAAATACTGACAAATGATCCACATAGTTGCCCTTTGGGAACAAAAGTATCCACCTGCAGAAATGCTATATCTGTTTAATGCAAAAGATATGAATGGTCTATATATGCGTGCCTCAAAAGAAAACAACATTATGGTGTGTTTCGTATACAAATGAATCAAAATTCATTTAATTTCCAAAAAACCGTTAGTAGTGAATTGATTTGTTAGTGAATTATCATGTTTTCAAATTTTTTATTATGTTTGGTTTCAATAAAAATACAATTTTTATTTCATTTTAGAAAATGAATTTATATAGAATTCATTTGGAAGCTTATTTGTGAATGACTTGTTTTGTTTGGAATAATCATGAAATCATTGCTCAATTGAATTTTGCAAGCATTTATGTTTGAAATAAGAGTACATACAAGTCTTATATATCGCATTTATATAAAATTTTAATTTTTTTTATTATTGAGATTTATTACAATTTTTTAGATAAAAAAGATAATTATATTTAATAAATATAATAAAAGGTGAACAAATCTTAATTATTAAAAGTGAAAAATAAATAATTAAAATTTTATATAAATATGATTTTGTGTAAGTGGATCTCTATTCTTAAAATAAATATAGAATTATGTTTAATATTAAATTCGTCATAAATACCTTTATTATTAGTAATTGGTGAAGGAGAGTTAAAAGAGCTTTAATTGATGTACACAAAAATAAAAAAGAGCTTTAATTGAAGAAGTATTTTAATTATTTAAATGCTCGCCTCATTTATCGGTGAGGAATTCATTTTCAAATTTGATCAAATATATAAATTTGAATTACATTGAATTAATTTCATGATTTAAAGCTTAGAATTGAATTCCATATTTTTTAAAAAATAAATAAATAAATGTAGAGGGCTAAAATAAAAAAAAATTATAAATAAATTCTACAAAATTTTTAATTAAACCAAGCACAAGAGTTTAAAAGTCATATCATAAAATTGAAATGAAAAATTTTTAATTAAATTAAACATTACCATTTGTAATCTCTTAGGGAGAAGACCTCCGAGTAGAGCTCACGCTCAGCAATCTTCGAGAAATTCTTTATTTTCCATGTAAATTTTATCGGTCCTACTGCACATTCACAAACGGAAAAAGGGCAATATGCATTAGAGTCTATGGACATTCAATTTCAGAAATGTTTGACTTTAATTTCATTTGGAATTTCAAAATCAGACAAAGAAACCAAAATGACGGCCAAAAAATAAGAAATCAAAATAATACAAAAATATATATTTATAATATTATATGAT